TGCATTTTATATGTGTTATGCACTGTAGACCCTAAAGGTGTTGTTAGACCCCAAACCTTTTTTTCAGTGCTGTTCATGCCTCTTGTAGACTTGTTAGAGAGAAAGACAGCTGTACTAACACACATCCTCTACTGTTTCATTAAAAGTTTCTATTTACACGCAGCCATGCTCATTTTGCTGATGTTTGTTCTATCCTTTATATATTGTCAAATCTTAGGCTACAGCAATAAGGTAGGAAAACCTTGCAAAAAGGAGAAAAGGAAGGAAGAAAACATGCGCTTTAGGAGTCACTTGATAAAGGATTCAGAAGCTGTGATGTGGATCATTTAAATTTACACCTCTGAGTTAGTGCCCTGACACAGAATTAACACTTTAGCCTGTCAAATGAGACATTTCCTGCAGGCACAAGGGCAGCGAACACTGCTGCTCCTCATAATGAGCTGATGCCTCAACAGCTGTTGAAACCGCTGACGTCTATCAGCAATAATGCTTTCAGACGGCCAGAACAGACAGACCCCTCATCCCTGTTGTTGGGGAAATATTTTCCAAGGCCCATAACTTTGACCCAGTTGATCAGTTCTGTCCTGACTGAGCACACGCACCTGTAACCTTGGCTGCTGTGCTCTCAGTGTTCTTTCTCCCTGTTCCTGCCTGTTGGCGTCAGCTGATAGAGGTGTTATGATTCTATCTTGTTATGCACAATGTTGATTATTCTCTCTGAACTAGCTAAATGCATGGGTCTGGGGTAGAGTTCTTCAGAATTGACGTGGCCACTCTACCGTGAAGTCAGAACCTCTGGCTCTTGGACTTGTGATGTGAATTCTGTGTGAAGCTCCAAATAAACCATCAGTGACATCAAAGCTCCTGCTCTTCCCGTGTCTCCTTCATGAGTTGGTGACTCCCACAGCATTGCTACACAGAAGTTTCCCCCACACCTCTCATAATCCTATTCATGTACACGAGGGAGTTATAGGCATATCTATACTGGGAGTTAAATCAGACTTTATGCTTTCAAAACAGATCCACTACATGTCTCGAAGGTTGTTTTACTTGTCCTTATTTAAGGAGTCAGGCCTTTCCATTGAATCATGTTAGGCATTACGTCTGTTGTCTGGACAGAAATGGGAGCTCCAGTTGTTGTTCCTCAAGCGCTCATCTGTACACATTAAAGAAAATAAGGAGAAATCACATACATCGTTGTGTTGTGATGCAGTGTGCTTTTTATTTCTTTATCTTTGGATTTGGAGTTTGGGATTGTTATTTTTCTACAATTAAGTGTTTCTTTACAGAAACACTTAATTGTTTTATCAGTTTTGTGTATTTTCAAGTGTGCATGAACACATCATGGAAATCTATTCTAAGTAGTTAAGTTTAATAATGTTTTTCTTGAATACTATACAATTGGTAGTTCACTTTGACTCGGAATCTAAATGAATATTTAAATATGTGTTTTTAGTTTGGTTAGAGCAAAATTGATCATTTATTCATGCTTAGTTCTAGTCATGTTTAAAGTCAAGCATTGCTTCAAGGTCTCCCAAAGGACTCGTCTTGGATTGAAGGAATTGGTGCATGAAAACCGACACATACAGTATCATCATGTTATTTCAACTATAGCGTTTGCTTTAACTGTAAAGAAATTTGGCAATTCAAATAAGAACAGTCATTAATGACACAGAAAGTATCACTTGAACATAAGTCAGTGCAGTTTGCAATATTTCTGCGCAGAAGAAGTGTTTGTTGCTCTTCTGTCTCCACCTAAACAACATAAATTAATTTGTGGCTAAAGATGCCCCTCACAGGAATGAATCAGTCAGGCCACTGTAAATCACATTGTACGATATAACAACTTCAAATAAAATCAGGATGCAGATTATCATGGTCAGTAAAATACAGATCACATTGAATTCAAAGTTAAAGAGATAGGAACAGTTATTTATCTTTCCTGTTTCTCTCCTGCAGGATAACATATCACCCCGTGTCACAGGATGACAAGTTTACAGAAGATGAGGTGAGTTGTTGCTTGGCAACAAGGTGAAATATTGGATGTACCAATGTTAGAGGTCGATTCAAAGGTTCCTGCGGTGGCGATTGCATTGAACAAGTTGATGGTGAGCACTGATGAATACCCAGAATCTGAAGCAATTTAATTTGATTTAAAGCCATTAGCTACAGCTTATTACAAAGATCCTTCTCATTTCTTGTCCAGACCCCCTCTTCAGTAACAGTGCCATTCATAGGCTACATGGCCCCTGGCGAAAGACACAGTAATCTCATTTGTACAGCAACAGATGTTTCTCTTAAAAACATCAGTTGACTGGGGAGTGAAAAGTCTGCCTCTCATTCTCTCATGGGATCAAAGAGACCAGTCTAATCGCTATGAAATCAGTCACATTTGTACTGGTTTGAAGAGACATATTAACTTACAGTGGGCGCACTATGTATGAAACAAAAAAGCTCTCCTTCTCTGTTTCTCTCACAGAGCCTACACACATTATATTAGGAAGTTTCCCCGCTCTGCACATCAAAAGGCCACACAGAGGGAAGGTGAAAGAGAGAAGAAAATGCATATGAAACAACAAACCCCCAGACAAATAAACAGCGCAGTGTTCCCATGGCAGCGCGGTGCAGTAATCTGACGGCTGGTTTCCCATGGCTGTGTCTCACTGCCCCATAGACCTCCACTCTGTCTCACTGATGGCTCCTGTGATTGCAATCATCCATCTTACTGTCAGAGGCAAAAAAAGGGGGCAAGAAAGGGTAAATCAAACACACCATCTCTCCCTCACTCCCTCGTGCCCAGCAAACAAGCCACCCCACTGTGAGCAGAGCCAACACTTGTACCGTGTGTGTTTGTATGTATGCCTCTGTGTGTGTGTGTACTCATGGTTATACGATCTACAGAGAGAACATGTGTGTGGGTGAGCATCTTTGGTCGTCTGTGCCTGCCCATTATACTGCATGATCAGTCACTGGAGTGTACACGGGGGAGCGGTGGACATGTCTGATCTTGCAGCTGATCAAAAGCACCAGAGACTTGTTCCCTTGTGGCCGTGCAAGCGGGCCTCATATCAACATGTCTCTGTTCAGTAGACAGGAAAAACAAGAGAAGAGAGACAGACAGAGGAGGAGGAGGGGGAACATCAGGAGGAAGACAGAAACAGGCAGGCAAAGCACAGATGAAAGGGTGCATTAAGAGGCCAGTGGAATATATGACAATGATACATAACCGCACTTATCTCCCCGTTCTGATGAGCTAATTGAAATGGCAAAAGCCAGCTCTGTATTTGTCTGTAGACGTAATAGCATGTGTGATCTCTTTATCTGCCAACCTGACAGCTCTCATCATCACAGAGCTGAAGATAAAAAAAAAAGAAAAGTGGAAAATACCTGGTTGATTGCAGTAGAATCAGATGTTTTAAACTTCCCTCTGGATGTCCCTGGTAGCCCTAACTACATGATCACCCACGTAGAGGACAAAGAGCAGGGGAAGAGACAGAAGGATGAAAGAGGAGGAAGAGGAGGAGCAGCAGCGAGGCTTCTGCCTGTAAACAGTCTCGCCACGCTGTGAGGTTGCGGTGCAGTTTGTGTGTTAATATAATTATGTGCAATAAAGTGGTGACTCTACAAAATGAATCCCTTTGTTGTTGTGACTTTAATCTTTCTTCAATAATGAACACAGATCTGCTGAGCATGGTCTCTTGCAAATTAAACAACAAAGCACACCTGAACATTGTTTAAGATAATGAAACACGCCCCAGAAACAACAGGCTCAAAGACAGACTTAAAAAACGCTTACAAAATATAAGTTATCGAAAACAACAGACAGCTCCATCCTTTTTCTGTTAATGACAGTTAAACGTAAAGTACAACCTTTTGTTTTACTTTTTTGCTGAGAGTAAAGGCGGAACATGGAAACCACTCTCATGTCTGTATGGTAAAATAAGCCGTTTGTGATCTAAGCTTAGCATAAAGAGTAGCTAGCCTGGCTCGGTCTAAGCCAATCAAAAACCTCCTGTTTGGAGGGGTTTTCAAACATGTCACTTTAGATAAACATCTTACATTTGCTTCTTCTGTTGTGTGACACAGTTTTAGCAGTTTATCAAGAAGTAAATGAACATGGGGTTTAAAGCTCCTTTAAAATGACCTAAATATAGTTTAGGATTGGATTTTATTTGGCAGGTTATAGAGCCATTTTCACATTCTTTTCACCAGGTGGGAGATATTGCTTCTTTCAGAAATTTCCCAAATCTTCAAATTTGTTTTTTTCCTACTCGACTGCTCATAATTTCAGATAGGCTAGCCGTTTCCTCATGTTATCAGTTTGTTTGCTAAGCTAAGCTAATTAGCTCCACTTTTATGTGCAGCACACAAACATGACAGTGGTATCAAACTTCGTATCCAACTCTATAAAATCTCAAATTATTTCTTTAACATTTAAAACAAAAGTCATGAAGAAAAAAACATTTTATCATGCATTGTCAAAGCTTTGTTCAGAGACGTATGGCTTGGTGTCTGAGATACTTGTTATAAAAATAATCATATCAGCTAGGAAACAAATCTCAGAGGCAGTTTATGAAGAAGTCAAAGTCATCCTGTTTAGTGCTCCATCAGTGAGTCAGCAGCACTGGAGCCGAGCAGGGTTTGCGGTTTCAGCAACTCCTGTGTTTGATTTCCAGATGTGCGCTCTCCAGATGCTATTCATTTTGCCTAACTTTATTTTAAGCAGATATCCTTGGCAGTCTGTTGTGTATTACCTCAGTTTTAATAAGGCAGACAGAGACAGAAATAAGAGAAAGGAAGAAATAGGTTTGACAGGCTAACACAAGATGAACCCAAAGGTTGCTCCAAAAATGCGTTTGACACTAAATAGTATATTTTCGGTCCAGCTCTCAGGAACTCAAAGCGCGGCCGGAGGGGTTTTGCAACATCAGCCAAGGAAAGTGATGTGTTTACTAGACGGTCTTTTATCTGAGGAAAGAGATATGCCAAAACCATCATAACATTTTATGAAATAACATTTTATTGTATGACATTTGAACAAGTGATACTGCTAAGGTTAAGTAGATTAGAAGATCATGCAGCAATAGGGTCAAAAAGGCTCAATAAAGCCTTTCATGTTGATGAAATGATCAACATCTCTCCGTTTTTACAGCTGTAAAGATGCAATAATGGGACAATAAACTGTGATAATATAAGAAACATGGTATAAACAAAAACTCTGCGTTCCAGTCAAGAACAAATGGCCACATCCATCACAATTATACACATACGTACACAATTAGAATATACTCTTAAAGAGGAGTTCTTCTTTGTCTCTCCCCCGGTACTGGAGCCAGAAGAGGGGTTTGCTCCGGCTGAAGGCGCTTTGTCTTAATAGCTGAGAAAGACAGGGGGTCGGAAATGCGGCCGAACCCAGAACCTTCAGAGTTCTCTGTAAGACATGAAACACAAAAAACATCCTGAAATGTATCTTCTTCAAAAACCTCCCAAAAGGAATAGTTTTACTATCTGGGTAAAAAGCTTATTTGTTTCCTGGTTCAATACTGGAAACAAGTGCCTGGATCTGTCAGAAGGTAATCAATCATTCTAGCAGAACCTCTCAAATCTCACTACGTTATATCTTGTGAGTTGGTCACAGTGCTTTGGTATTGCTACAAATAAAAATGGCCGTCGCTCTGACCCTCCTGTTACGCTGGGATACTCTCATTCTATTTCTATGGTTTAAGGCATATTTCACAGAGAAAGTGGTATCAATCTTCTCATCTATCTCCCCACCAGTAAATGGATAAGCATATTTCCTCAAAATGGGGCCTGGAAAAACGTTTTCCTCCATCTGTTTTTCTCCTCACCATGAACGCCTATCATGTGCTCCAGGATCAGGACCCTCTCAGCCAGGATCTTCAGGGCCTCCCTGAGCTGTTGCATGGCCTCACCCTGAAAAAACAACATTGTGTTAAGTTAAGGAAAATGTTTTTAAAATTATCTCAGAAGGGAAAGGAAATCATGTCCCTTACCTCCCTCAAACCCTCTCCTGGCTCTCCTTTTGGCCCTGGTGTTCCCTGGAAATAATTTGTAAAAGAACATTAATTAATTAAATTATTTATTTAATTCACAGGTTTAACAAATAAAGGTACAATCATAAAGGCATAGATGAGATATGTAGAGAGGGTGTGTGTTTGTTCAGAAACATTACAAGCTAAAAACACCTCACAATACTCACAAAAAACGAATCTAAACCTAACTACTAAATGTTCCCAAAAGAACGATTTCATCAGTCTTGATATATTTGCTTAAAAAGTGCTACCTTAAGCACTTTTAAAAAGCAACACAGATAAAGAGGTTTATACAGTGTTATCAATCTCATGTCATACCTGAGGACCTCTGCTAACCAAATTAATATACAACTTGTACATTTGAGTTAACGTTTTTATCCATTAGTTTAGTTTAGTTTAGTTTATTTATTTTTTTCGAGCGTGTACAACCAAAGAAAATACAAATGAAACAAAAGATGATACAGACATGATACAGTACTATACAAATGAATGCAATAACAAAACGAAATATATAATTAATAATTGAATAAACTGTAGTATCATTGTCTGATATCAATAAACAATAAAGCTTTTGCTAATTACACGTCCGAAAAGGGGTCGGAAGAAGTTTACACTTATTTAATCCGACCCCTTCTCCTATTATTTTTTTTAAATGTTTTTAACATCTTAATATATGTTAACATACAATATCAATGTATACTTAAACCTTGAATAATTTATATAATCGTTCATACAATATATACAGGCAAGTTAGGAGAATGGTCTCTATATATTTATATATATATATATACATATGTACATACACAAATTCATACAAACACAAATTCATAAATAGAATACAAAACAAGAATATAAACAGTTATGGTTTAGCAGTTTCATCCCTGTACCTTGTGAGAATTGTTTCTTTATACCTCTTTTTGAATAGTTTTATGTTTGGACATCCCTTTAGCTCCTCACTCAAATTGTTCCAGATCTTCACCCCACAAACAGAAACACAAAAACTTCTCTTTGTTGTACGCACCCTAACATTAGTGAATATAAATGAACCACGTAAATAATAATTCCCTTATCTTTCATTGAACAATATCTGAATATTCCCAGGTAATTGAACGTTTTTTGCCTTAAACGTGATTTGTGCAATTTGGAATTCAACAAGATCTGACAGTTTTAATAATTTTAGCTCTAAGAATAATGTTTTTGTATGATCTCTATAGCCGACATTTTTAATAAGTCTTATTGCTCTTTTTTTGTAGAATAAATAGGGATGGTGTTGTAGTTTTATAAAATACTTTGGTCGTAGGTGTAATATTCTGTGTTGTGTGTTTGTGTGTGCAATGCAACACAATAACCTTATACTTACAGGTCGGCCAAGCTCGCCTGACACTCCTGAAGGCCCCTGCAAAACAATAAGAAATTATTTTGGACACATGCTCACAGACACACATTTCAATATTGCGTTCTTTCCTCCCTCCCTCTCCCTCAGCTAATCCACCTCTTCACCAGATCTAAAATCTTTAATCACGCTACTAAAGAAAGAGGATCAGGTCTAAAGACAGAGGCCCAATAGAGAGAGAGAGAGAGAGAGAGAGAGAGAGAGAGAGAGAGAGAGAGAGAGAGAGGATTAGTCTTGGTCTTTGAATAAAATGCTTGTTCACCTCTAATGTGTTAAAGACTGCCTGACAGCTAGCCTAGCCTAGGACCATTTAAAGCATATAGAACAAAATGCATTTTAGTTGATCAGAATCAAATATGTCCAGTCAGCGAGTTAATCCAATAACAGGGAGGACAGTCACAGCAGCCTCACCCTTATCCCTGGATCTCCTTTAGGTCCAGAATCCCCATGCCTTCCTTGGAGCCCTTCTTTTCCCTTATGTTAATGAAACGAAAAGGGTGTGAATTAATGATGCCAGTCATATTTTGTACATATATTATTGATCAACACATTTGAGATACTCACATCTTTTCCCGGCAGGCCTGGTATCCCTGCAGGTCCTCTCAGTCCTGGAGGGCCTGTCGAGTCATTCACAAACACAAATGAGATGGATGAAGGTCGAAATGTTTATAGGCTATTTAATTATTTTGGAAAGTCAAAAATCCATTCAGTTTAATTTAATTTAAAATATATTATTATTACATTGAAAAGAACATGTATGTTATTGGTGAGTGTCTTGTTCTTCTTCTGGTGCACCTCGTTTCTGTTTGAGGACTTTTAATTTGAATAGGACTTAAAAATGAAGCTTGGTGAGTTTAAGCCGAGCTCGACTTTTTAATTATGAACTAGCTCATGGCACAGTATATATATTCAAAAATGATGTATACGCACAATATACATCCAACTTGGGCAGGAAACAGCTTATATTCATACCTGAGGGGCCGACAGGACCAGCTGGACCCTGAGGCCCGACTACGATCTGAGGAACAGGGAGAGTAGGATGGCCGGGGGTCTCTAAAAAAATTGAGATTAAAGCAAAAATTCAAGAATTAACTTTGTGGAAAACATAAGGCAGAAACCAGTAGATAACAAAAAAGGAAAAATAAAAACAGATAAAAAAGTATAAAACATTGTGACTTCAAGAGGTGAATTCACAGATTATCATTTAGAACATGTTTAGATGTAAATAAAGAACGTTAATAACTAATGACTACAAATGTTTATTCTATGTACCCACTACCCAGTAAACTGAAAATATCAGTAGATTGTTTGCCATAGAGGAGGTGGAGGAGGGTGTGAAGAGGAAACGCCGCACCCTGTATCTTTGAAGGATGTCGCTGGACAATACACACAGCACCTTTAATGTGCAGCTACCAAAACATACTTTTATTTTATCAAAGTAACTTTTCCTCTGCAGAAAACTGAATGAATCGGATGTCAAATTAAACTCTATTTCCTGGTGTTAAGTAGTTCAAATTAAACATGATCTTTATCAATGCTTCATTGATCCACAGTGGTGACTCACCGGCTTCAACACAGCAGCCGGCCAACAATCTCCATTGTTGCCTGTTGCCTGTTGCTCTCACACTCAATAGTTGTGCTCCACACACGGACATGTTGGCATGACCTATGTTTTCATTCATTGGATCCAAACATTACTCATCTGCCAGCATCAGTGTACTATAGATTTTGCCTTCTATTGGTGAGCAAAACTATCTCTGTCCTTTCCCTATGTCGCTTTGCACAAAAATGCTTCTTGGGTAATATGATCACATCTTAAGGTGCAGATGTAAATGAAAAAAAAAAAATAAGGTCACACTAGGACCCGTGGCCATGTAAGGATGTAACCATGTAGTGTGTAAGCATCTATTTATATGCTCTGCATGCACTCTCAACAGTTGAATTGCACATGTGTCAAAATACTTGAAAGAGTATCTGTTTCCTAGCTGTGACATAGTGTTTACCTGTGATGCATTCAAGGCACACTTTGTTTTCGATTAAGAAACACAAGCTAGATCTGAATATTCTACATCTTTCTCTTCTTCTGTTACAGACTTTGTTTGCAGGGTTTATTTACTTTGAGTCGGACATGCATATCAATCAAATCATTGTTTGAATTCCTATTCCTTTCAAAATCTCTCTATATTCCTATACTTTTGGGGTCCCAAACCGCATGACCTCAGGGTATGGGATTCTTTTTCAGACAGAAAAAGTTAAGACATCAAGGTTCAGGAGTCAGACTTCAGAGTTTCATCAGCCGTCAACAACAGGATTAAATCCAGTGTGACAGGAACAGCTGTTAGATCCAAAAGAGGTCTGATTTAATGGAGCGGTAAATGCTTGAACATGATATATCTTCTTTCAGGAAGAGGAAGTCATGCCTTGTTCTCAGCATGCAGTATGTTTTAAAGTGTGTTAGTAGGTAAAAAAACCAAAAACGTTTTCGACCACAGCGCACTTCCTCTCCACTTTAACATATGCTCAGAGTCAGTCTTCCCCTCGTGTTGAAACAGCGCCGTTACATTATGGCTTCAGTCCACAGAAAGGGTCTAGAAGGAGCAGATTTCCCTCTGGAACTAATTTTCTAATGTTACAGTCTCCTCCAGCCTGGCTGCCTCCCCGAGAAACTCCACATGAGTGGCAGACTATCTCCTCCCTCGTTCAGAGAAAGCCCAGATTTTGGCTCAGGGCCGCGGCCTGTTCCCCCAAACGCAGACTGTTGTGCTGACAGCTTACAAATTAGGCCTGATTTACAGCCAGTTGGCCCCCCTCAGCTTACATGGTCCCACAGACCCAGATCGACATAGTTTCAGACCCGCAGACACAGTTCTGGGCTCAGAAAGGCAGATGCAGCCAAAAGCCTAATCAGAGCCAGCAGTGCTTCATGAGGTAATGATTATAGCACAGACTTCTACTGCCTCCCTGTGGGGAAACCCTTTAATGTGAAATATATGAATATTATGAAGTGTAGTTGGATTTTAATACATGTTTAACACTCTGTATGTATATGTCTGAAATCCCATTTATTCCAGATATAAAATCGTCTGCGACAAAGATTTAGTGCTGGCTAAAAGCAAACCGTAGCTGTACCCATTTACAGCAAATGGTACTGTTAATAACCACAGTGTATTGGTGGATTGTCATACATGTATTTGTGTAATGTGTGGGTGATTGTTGTGTAGTGGCTTAAGATATAGAAAGTTGTATATTTCTAACTAAACTGTACAAGTAAAAACCCCATTTGGTACTAGAGTTAATAAGCATTAGCATTAGCAATGAACTCTGTGCAGTACATTAGTTTAATTCTCTGTATAAGTTAAATTGCCTCATCCCTATCAGATTAAAACAATAAAAAAATCAAGAGACGCTGTTTTAAATTGCATAAGAATAATAAAAATGGTGTTAAAATAATGTACTATTTAAATCTTCTTCTTTTTTTTAAACCACCTGAGCTAATCTTGTGGTTTATGTGCGGCGAGTATTTGGTTCCATTGTTGGTGGCAGGGATAAAGGAAGCAACACACGGAAACAATCAAGCTAAATGTATGCCAGACCTGCATAGAAACAATACTCTCTCCATTACCAAGTCTCTCGCTGAAAGCTAAAGACACATATTGCTCACTTAAACACTTGGTAACAGCTCCAATATGCTCGGTGCTTCCACTTGTGCGCCTTTTGAATTATTTTTCCATATGTACAAATGCATCTGGCCTGGGTTCATGTTCTGCCTGACAGAATGATTGCATGGACAACAGTATAAGCATAATGTATGAGATATGTTAGAAACTGGTGAAGCATATGATTCATCAAAATGGACCTGTGGTTTTGGCATCAACTCAGACAAACCAAAAACTGAATGCTTGAATGGTTTTACAATTGTTCTTGTGTCAGAATTCAACCATGTGTGTAAGATAGATATGTCATTTAAGGCCACCTGGAACAAATGAGCTCAGAGTTACTAGAAAAGAGTGATAATAATAATAATAAATTATATTTATATAGCGCTTTTCTCAAACTCAAAGACGCTTTACAGTCGGGGGGAGGGTAGACAAACAAGGACAGGCAAAAACAAACAAAAACAACAAAACAAAACAAATCAAAACAAAAAATAATAATAAATTAATCAAATTTATTATTATTATCATTATGCGTTGGATTAGGTCGCTCACCTTGATTTTCCATGTGAAAAACGTCACCACGCACTCGCACAGGAGTGGAGCTCGGCTCCGGAGGACCTGGGGGACCAGGAGGGCCGCGGAGACCGATAACGCCCGCCTGACCTCTGTCACCTTTTGGTCCTGAACAGGAAATAAAAATCAATCAATCAATCAATCAATCAATCCATCATTTTGAAGGGGACATATAATGCGTTACTTCAGGTTTATACTAGAAAATGTTTGAACATCATGATGTTAAAATAAACACTTTTCCTTGCTCATACTGTCTGTTTGAATATGCTTGTATTCACCTTCTTTAAGAAACGCTCCAATTTGGCTCTTGTCTCTTAAAGTCCCCCCTTGAGAAAAACCCTTAGTCTGCTCTGATTGGCATGCCAGAACAATATGCTGCACATCTGCAAAGGTAACCTCAATGAAACATAGGAAGAGGACCTTAATATGAATGGTTTGGTAAATCTCATGTTTTCTGATTGGGGCAGTTCACAAAAAAGCTGATTAGGTTGTATTATTTCACAGTTTGTGGGTGGCAGGCATTTTAAAATGTATGTTTACATGCACTAACAAATGGTGTTTCTCCTTATATGTCCCCATTTAAACACACTTTTTGTCAATTGTTTTAAATGAGCAGATGAGGCAAAAAGTATAGTTATATTTTACCGATGGGTCCAGAGAGGCCTGCTCTGCCAGCCAGACCTGGGGGTCCTGCGAAACCTGGAGGCCCTGGTGGTCCGATGGGCCCCGGGAGTCCTCTGCCTCCTGGTAGAGGAGAGAACAAGACATTCAGTCAAATTCAGTGTTAAAATGTAAACAGTTCAGACTTAGAAGGTGCACTCCATACACTTTACACACAACATCAGTTTTACTTGTTAAGGGAGGAAGTGTTCAGGGGTAGTTAGTTATAATCTAAAGAATGTTGTTGATCCTCTTCAAAACAAGCCAGAAATCCAGTAAGGATGTAAATGTTGGACTTCTGGCCCCACAATATTATGCTCCATAATTTAAAATATGATTATTGGTTGTAGGGTGCCATATGCACAGTATAATGGCAATTAACTCTTTCTTTAAATGTCTGATTATTGAAACTGCATTTACTGTTAACTCATTAAAATACAGACGTAAAGATGTCAACAGGATTGCTTTTTGGTTTGTATTTATTAGTTGTTTTTTGTGTGCCTTTCTTTAAAAGACATTTAAACATCTGTTCCAAATCTCAACAACACAGTCTTGTGATGCCTTGGCACCTGGTGGCAGGTGCGATGGAGGTCCGATGGGAGTGGGTTGGGGTCCGTCCACCTCGTTGTCCGTTGAGCCCTCTGGTGAACTGCTGACTGGCAGGGTTAAACGTTCCTCCTCTAACAGCTGGATCTGAAACAACAGCAGCACATTTCAGACACATCTGCACTCTGGTGTTTATAAGTAATAGGTTTACAATCTTTTGTTTTCAAATATCATATAGGATGATGACAGCTCGTCTTTACCTTTGATTCAATGGCATTTATTCTGCTGTTCATGTTTGTGAAACTGGTACAGTTCAAACATTCTGTGAGAAAGAAATACACAAAAGTATGAGTTTAGTTATCAGGAATAAATGCTACTTCTTCTCCGTCCTATTCCGTCTTTTCTTTTCCTTCTGACTCTTTTCCTTTCTTGTCTCTTTCATGGCACCATCAGTAGTATCTATCTATCCCACACCGAGCAGTGCAAGCCAACATGTACGTTAATGATGTCCATCAAACCAGACTCATTCATTAATTAGGAATTCCTCCATTAATCATGTTAAACACTCACAGAATAAATATTATCAGACCTCTCATGAAATTCTCTCTCTCTCTCAGGCCTGGTGCACACCTGCTTCTCTCCTGACTCTGCACGTTTTTCGTCAGTCTACCCACTAACAGTGATGCCTGCACGCTCACACTCACACCCTCCCACGGGTACTTATACAATTAATGGTGTGTAGCACAGGGAAGCACAAACAAACAAACACAGACACAATATTTTCACAGCCATTTCCAAACTACTGATTTATAGAATTGTATGTTCAATTAATATGTCTCATAACATTCTATTTGTCTATTGTCTGTGTTATCAAACAGACTGATATTTCTTGGTTAAAATGAATTAACACACATTAAAACACAGTTAAACAGGCGACACTGTCCTTCATCATGACAAACATTGACACTGTATTAGGATTGTTGCAAGTTAAATGTAAGATTGTTTAAAGACCATATGGGTTAAAAGTGAAGTGCCACAGGAAGGATAGCAAAGTCTGTAAGTATGATTCCTTGTTAGTTTAGGTTAGTTAAAGCATTAATTGAAAATAAGCAAACCAATGAATACTGTGAGATGTATTACTTTAAGAATCAGCATTAACACTTATCATTGCATATGCTATTTTTCTTGTATCTATTTTGCAGTTAGCACAGAAAGATGTGTTGGACCTTGTTAAAATGCCTGTTTGCCTGTTTCTTTCCTTGTCATGTTCTCTTTTGACCACTTTGGTGAACTTGCTCACAAATGATACCGTTCGAGCTACCACTAACCCACCGACACGCACACATTCCACGCTGTGCTGCAATTTTGGTTCGTTTACATGAGCTGTAATCCAAAATCCAAAACACAGAATAGCACATAATGTAAAAACCCAGTATTTGTTCTAAATATGAGCCTTCCTCTGGTCTATGGCTCATAAGAAGTCAGGAATGTCAGCTGTCAGTCCCACAGAGGGGCACCACCCACATTGTGGTCATAGCAGGGATACCTGAGGAACAACTGGTTTTTATAGATAACAAACAACAAAAATGACCCAAACAGCTCTGGTTTGCCTAAATCAGCTTCACTGACCGCAGGACAGAGGGTACTAATGGCAGCTGCTGAGGTTTCTGCTTCACTGAAATAACACAGGGTTAAAGTATTGTGCCATGTCTGTGTCTCTACATGAACATCCAGTCCAGTTGTGTATTTGTCTGCATGGGTGGGGTTTCTCAAAGCTTTAAAAGAAAAAAAATGTTCGACTCTCCCCCGGACCACAGCCACAAACGGAAACAACAATCTACAGCTCGACCCGAAAACACATTCCTGAGGATTCATCAAACCAAACACAGAGCTGTTCAACCGCTGAGGCCAAAATGACCCCACATGAGTTTGTTGTGTCTGACTGCGCTGAGGTTCCTTTAGAGAAGACATAACAGCACAACAGCAAAACTGAGGGCAATCATAGTCTATACAATGTGAGGTGAGTGATGAGTTGATGTGCCTTCATCTCCTCACAGTTATTCATCATCAGCCCAGAGGAAATCTCCACCCTGTGTAACACACCCTCTCTGTTACAGTCGATCAATCTGTGATGTGTAACAACAGTTTCTCTGTGATGACATACAGATTTTAGCCTAGCTAGCAGTTTATCTACTGGAAGAATCTACTTCTAATTATCAACTTTTGAATGGGTTGATATGCACTTTGGGAAAGACATTCATTGTTCCCAGATAATTAGTCCTGATGATTTCTGTGATCCCCTGACTTTTCCTTTGGTGCCACTAATAGGTTGACTTTGTTGTTGTCAGGTAATATTTTGACAACTATCTGTTGTGGACTGTTTTGACATTTGGAGAACATAACATGTTGCCCTGGGGATAAACCATTGACTTTGGTGATCCCCTACCTTTTCCTCTGATGCAAATATTTTGAAAGTGGGAAGCGGGGCTTTGAACTGTGAAGAAACATTACATTAGTTATCAAAAGAAGATCACATAGAATAACCTAAATGTGTGGGATTAATTTAAAGAGATAAATTAAAGAACAGTAGTGAATTTAATGAATTTCAGTTTGTTTTACTTTCCCAGAGGCAGAAACTGATTACTTCCTTAGAATAGACCATGTTTTTATGTAATTCATGTAATCAGAAGTTATGCCAAACAGCATGTATCTTTGCTCAATCGTACAGTGCCTGTGATTAAATAACATATCATTATCCCATAGGCATCCAGGAAAGTGAGCAAAACTAAGAAAGTAAACTAAGGAGGGGCGAGTAGGTGACTTTCTCTAAGCTTTGCCTGAGAGGAGGAATAAATCTCCGCATTTGAAATCCCTGTGCAAGAACCACCATCAGATACATATCGAGTGAAACATCTTTACAATTGTTGGCATTTGTATTTCCCTTTTACCCGTACTGAACAAGTCAACGTTACACAAGCTATTTACAGTAGGAGGAACAGGCCTGTTAACCTGTTGTCGTCATGACCACCGGAGTTCATGAAGATAACAGGATATGAGGTCATGACATCCAAGCTTGTTATGGTGGTTGGATGTCCTTTTCAGGATTGTTATGACAGTTTTGCATCTTATGTAACTCATACTAAATTACGTATGTCAGGTGGGGGGAAGCAACCTATACAGTTGCAAGAAAAAGTATGTGAACCCTTTGGAACTACCTGGATTTCTGCATAAATTGGTCATAAAATGTGTTCTGATCTTCATCTAAGTCACAACAATAGACAAACACAGTCTGCTTAAGCTAAAACCACACAAACAATTATATGTTTTTATTGAACACACCATGTAAACATTCACAGTGCAGGGTGGAAAAAGTATGTGAACCCTTGGTTTTAATATTAATTACATGTATAATTACATTATACATTACATTACATTACATTGCATTTAGCGTCATCTAAATGCAATGTAATGTAATGTAATGTAATGTAATGTAATAACTGGTTGACCCTCCTTTGGCAGCAATAACCTCAACCAAACGTTTCCTATAGTTGCATATCAGACCTGCACAACGGTCAGGAGGAATTTTGGACCATTCCTCTTTACAAAACTGTTTCAGTTCAGCAATATTCTTGGGATGTCTGGTGTGAATCGCTCTCTTGAGGTCATGCCACAGCATCTCAATTGGGTTGAGGTCAGGACTCTGACTGGGCCACTCCAGAAGGCGTATTTTCTTCTTTTGAAGCCATTCTGTTGTTGATTTACTTCTGTGCTTTGGGTCGTTGTCCTGTTGCATCATCCATCTTCTGTTGAGCTTCAATTGGTGGACAGATGGCCTAAAGTTCTCCAGCAAAATGTCTTGATAAACTTGAGAATTCATTTTTCCGTCGATGATGGCAATCTGTCCAGGCCCTGAGGCAGCAAAGCAGCCCCAANTGGAAACTTTCCATGGGAATAAACGGGAATTAACGGGAATAAACGGGAATTTATGGGAATAAACGGGAATTTATGGGAATAAACAGGGAATTTTCCAAATGGTTGTAAATATAGTTGGGGAAAGTATATTTTAGCATAATCTTGACTAAAACAAACAGATGCCATTCAAGTACACTTGAATATCCATGCCATAGCACACTGCTTACTGCATGGTGCATGGCTATTGAGACCACACCCCCTATGGGCACTGTGCATTCCTCCATCCCATGCACAGATGAGTAATATTTAACTCAACATTCCTGTTTTCGTTCTTCAATTGAACAAATAATTGTTCGATAAAATAATTAAAACTTGTTCTGTTCTACTTTTTAATTTTTTTTAAAAAAATCTGTTGAAATTTCATGTTTTTTGTTTAATTTGGCATCGAATATTTCCAAAATTCCCCAGCTTAACTTCCCATGGAAACTTTCCGCCCCTTTGCAACAAACACAGACCACAGGAAAACACTAGCACTGCATCAAACTACCATAAATGAGAAACAGAGCAAAACAACTAAGGTTTTTTTTCTTTTTTCTGAAGGTGGCGGGCGGGCTTTCCATCTCTGCAGTTGGAATTTAATTATGTCGGGTTAGAAAACCAAACTTCCGCTGTGCTCTAGCTGATGTTTAGAACGGGACCGCAGCTATAGAGTCTGTTTGGATCCATAATTACACCATGGCAACATAAGTCAGGGTTATTTTTCTTGGATTGTGCTCAGCTCATGGGAAAGATTCAGGATTGTGTTGTCTTTAGTGGGAAGCCAAATAAACAGAGAAAATTGGGAACTTTTACTGCTTCATAGAGAAGTGAGGGAAGGATTTGTGGGTTTGAGTTTCAACTCTTCAAGACAATTGAATTTGTCAATAAAAGGAGCACTTTTATATTAAAATGAAGATTAGCCAATGCAAGAATTAGACAAGGAACATTATTAGGATGACCCAACACATGACCACAGACACATGATACATAAATCACTTAAAATGAAATTAACAAAAATATCTGATTTCTGGGGTAATGCACCATGCAAAAGGATTAGATGTCCATAAATAACACGATGCGGAAGGAAAGATAATATTAGTCTCATGTGATAAGCTCAATTTTTAAGCCTGGCAATGAAAACTGAGAGACTAAAGCAAACCTCCAGGCGAAAGAGTGTAAACAGGGTGTAAAGAGGGTTGGAAACTTAAGATAAATCTTAATTTAAACATCAGAGGAACCAAAACAAAGACGATATTTCATCCCAGCAAACTACAAAAACACAGACTTGTTTGATGAATCATCCTTTCCATTATAGTGTGATGGACATGACAGAACAGGATATTTTGGCAAGAGGGTAAGTAACTGAA